AAGCAACGCACCCATGTTATTAATTTAAGATTTTGTCTTAACTATTTACTTGCACAATTAATCATGAATTAGCGTTAATCATGGGTTGGGGTTGTTACAGTTGGCTCTTTGAATAACGTGTTCATAATGCGGCGTCTGACCTACGCAAACATATTCAAGCATAACCTCTTAATACACATGCAATTCATTCGGTTAGTTCTTAACCTTATTCGGTTCATTCACTACTTGTTCATTTGGTTAGTTCGATTCGTTCTCTAAGTTATTTCATGCTCATGATAGGCATATGAATGTGAAAAACATGTGAAAATCATGCAAATTGAGGCCCAAAAGTCTGAAAAATGGAAAGAAAACAATTCTGAGCTTGTCTTGAAATTCGCACATGCAGAACTGTCACTGCACGTGTGCCCTGCATGTGCAACTAAAGTAGTAGGTTCGGCCTTGTGAGCTCTGTTTTCTACACGTGCGAGACTCCTTGCTGCACGTGTAATTATGGTTAAGTTTTACAACCTCAAATTTCAATTCTATGCAAATCAAGTCCCAAAACTCTTTAAAAACACGTGAAATTACACATTTCTAACTTCAAACAAAGGACATGACTTCAAATCAAAACTCAAATCCCCATGTAAGAACTCAAAACCTTGAACTTATAGCATTTAGATAGGTCCAGTTCATGTCCTAACTGTATATGTTCACAATAACACTTGTCCATTCACGTATGGCACACAATAACACACATAAACACATAAGCAACATATAAGCAAATAATCAAGGCAACCCATAGAATTAGCAGTTAATTAAGGAGGTGGTTGTTGCATTGTTCATGAGAAAGATTTTCAAGAAACACATATTTGCACCAACTATATTGCGGAAAATAAAAAAAACAAAACAGGGAAAAAAATCGAGAGAGAGAAAGATAGAATATATATCAGAAAACAAAACCCTAATCTTCAATAAACTCGTATTAAATGTGCTTGGTTTGTATGTATTTGTTTATTTTATATACATACCCGCACATACACAGAGAAATATCAAAGATTCTAGATGAAACAAACCCTAATCAGATCTACCATGAAAAGATTTATTGGACTTGTGTTCAATAATCACATATTCATACCATAAGCACAAAGCAAAGCAGAAGTTTGTAAATCTATCAATGTGTGTGTGTATATATATATATATATATAGAGAGAGAGAGAGAGAGAGAGAGAGAGAGAAGAGGAGCTGATGGAGTATATGCGACTACGAGAGGAGATGCAGTGATAGGGAAAAGCTGTTGACAGTGGTGTTGGAGATAGAGTTCGTTGGGAAGAGAAGAGCAGACAGAGAGAAAGAGAGGGAGAGATTGGTTTGATTTGAGACAATCAAATTTCTTTGTGATATATAGGTATCAGGGTTGAGGGGCCTTAGACATCACAAAATAATATTCTAGATTTCTTTCATTACTAAAAATTGAATAGGAACCTTATACTAGTTTTCTCTAAATTTTATCAATTTTAATAATTAAATTCATATATATTTTTTAAATGCGTTTATAAGTATTTTGTGAGGTTACCACTGTTTTATATTTTTTTTAAAATTTTAACTCACATAAAATCCAATCCTATTTTTATTTGTCTTTCATTATTCGTATAGATTGAAAAATAATGTTATATATTTTATCTTCTTATTATTATATTTTCATAACAATTGTATTAATTTAAATTTATCTAATTTTATTAAAAGAGAGGTGAATATAATAATGAGGTTGGTGCAAAAAAAATTTTAAATCTAAATAATAAAAAAAAATGTAATTTGTATACAAAAATTGCGATGACCGTCATAAGCATGATTCTCTCTACTTGTGGCATGGTGTCCCTCTACTCATAACATTGCTCTCGAATGCCTGGAAAGGAAAAATTGGATACTGTTTCAACCAAATGTAAACTTCGGATGTGTGAAACTCATCCTGTTGGATTGACATAGTGCTGGGAATTTCTTAATCCCTAATCTTAAGGGATTGGCTTAATAGGTGCAGTCTGGTACTTTGAGATATGCTTTTTTTAGGTATTAGATTCAATTTTTACTAAGTAATATAAATTATTTAGGATCACGTCCGCAAATTCTAACCAATTTATATGAAAAAGTGCTTTGTATGAATCTAAATTAATTGAGGTGCGCATAAACGAGTTCAAACATTTAGATATTAAAAAAGAAATTCCTTAATACCTAACCAAATCAGCTCCAAAAAAAAACACATTAAATGTAAGTTACTTTTGACAAATGAAATGCTAGATACTTTCAATTTCTACCTATTACATGGTCCCACAAAAACAGCATTGGGTGTACCAAATGCCATATCATACGAGTTAACAATGTGGTTTTTATTGTTTTGGGATCACGTTATTTTAATGATTTTTTTTTTTTATTAAAATATGAAATGACAAAAGAGTATGTTTGAAATTATTTTTTTGACTTTTTACGAGAAAAAAAAAGTGTAAAAAGTAAAGAGGAAATAAATTTTTTTATTCTTTTGTATAATTATATAACTTTTTAATTTTTTAAGAGGTTGTTCGACTTTTTAACTATTGTAAGGAGCTTCCAAACTTGGTGTAACTAATGGTCCCGTTTATTTTTAGAGGTAGAATGGAGGAGTTTGATAGTGAGGGGATTAATAGTGAGGGATTGTTAATGAGTGGATTAGTAAAATTGTGTTTGTTTTTATGATAGTTAGTATTGTGGGAATTGTTAAATTATTATTGTATAAAATAAATATAAAATAATGAAACAAATAAAATTATAATTTTTACTTAACAAAAAATATAAAATCTTTAAACATTAATGTTAAAAAAAATGGCCAACGGGTAATAATAATAATAATAAATTTGCAGTTAATCGGTTGACTGACCGGACGTCCCGGTGGATGACCATAACTCACTAAGCCGATAGATTATTTTCCTAATAGCACCTCTTTGCCCAGATTAACAATCCGCTCGCCCAAGGCCTATCCTAATCCGAACGGATTATCAATCCGGAGGGCCACAAACAAAACAAACGTGAGCTAAGCTCACTGTTCATCCATCACAATCCGAAGTGGACTACTACTCCAGAAAACAAATGGGGCAATGTGCCATGTATGACAAGAAAGTAGCTTTGGATGTGGGTTCTTTTTTCTTGGTTTTCTCTTTTCATATATGAATAGTAGAAGATGCATGAAAATTTATTTTTAAATAGAAAATTGATTTTGAATTTTTATATTTTATGTTTATAAAATTTTAATAATTGAAAGTCAAATACAAATAAATTTGTTAATGATTTATGAAATTTTTTGTCACTGTGTATGATCTTATGTAAAAGGCTCACAAAAATAATTTCTTTCAATTTTTTTTTTAAAAAAATGTATATTCTCAATCTAAAATCAAATGCTCATTAGTATTAATCAAATTTATCAAAAATTATAAATTCCACTTGTGTCAAAATATTTGTTTTTGAAAAAAAAAATAATGAAAATTTCTATAATATAAAAAGAAAACATTTGATTAAATAATATATATATATGATGGGTGGTTTGTATTTAGAGTTGATTTGAGAAGGGACTTTTTTTAGTAATTTTTTGGTTAAATATGATGTAAAAAATTTTAAATTTTGGGAATGATTTTTTGTTATTTTACAAAAAAAAAAAAAAAAAAATTGTATAAAAAAATAAAGAAAATAAAAATAAATCTTTAAGTTTTTTTGGGTACAATATCTTAAATTTTTGAATATTTTTTTGACTAAATTATTGGATTGGCAAAGATCATTAGTTTTTTGTCCCACCTCCCGTGACTGGTTTAATTCTGTGGTCGTGGACCCACTACATGTTTCCCTGGCTATTTCGATGGCCACAACTACAAGGTGCTACACAACAACGAAGAATCACGGGACCTATTTCTTTCTATCAAATGAACCACATTCGTTACATTCTAGTCTTTTATTTATTTATTTATTCTTATCGCCATTCTACAACCTACACCACACCTGCCAATTTCAAAAAATAGTGCTCTCTCTCTCTCTCTCTCTCTCTCTCTCTATATATATATATATATATGATGTAACATTGGAATCACATGAAATTATAGAAAACAATACGGATTCAGAAAAGGGTACAAAATCCAGTGCCGACATTATTTTTTTTAATTCTTTGATTGGCAGTGCCGACATTCGTCTAGACAGAGTAAATTATGCCTTTATAGCACTATTGGCCCTGTTTGTTTTGGGAGATTGAGGGGAATTGAAATTGAGATAGAGGTATAATCGACTAATATTGTGTTTGTTTTAAGAGATGGAGAAGGGATTTATAATCTCCTCCGGATTAGGATGAACTTGGGGAGGGGACTAGGATGGAGGCTTCAGACTTGGTATTAAAAAATAATCCGCTAAAATATTTTTATTTTTTACATGTTGGGTATTTTTTTTTTTTTACATTAATGTTTAATTTTTTTATTTATTTTATTATTTTATATAAAAATAATTTAACAATTTCTACACCAACAATTATTTTCAAAACAAACGCAATTTTACTTAATCCTTTTATTAACAATCTCTTCACTATTAATTCTCTCACTACGAATTCCCCATATTCTACCTTTTAAAAATAAACAGGCCACGTTTATATGCAGAGTTCTTTGTTCTAATGCATTTGCTTCCATGAGAGGAACTCTTCAAATTTTGAAATGGCATTGATAAGATAAGATAATAAATTACAATAATCAAAATACAAACCAGTACAACAAATCAAATGAGGGATTTTCTTTTCAAGCAACCAGGAGGAGGTTACAACACACACATAATGCACCGATGTCTCACAAAATCTTTGCATGATGCAAACATTTTGTGAGATATCGGTTCGTGTGCGTAAACTTTGTGGGCGCGCAGTGTTTTTGTTTTCTTTTTCGTTTGTCAGCACTAAGGTTGAACCACAAGTAAATTTGGCAAATCTCGGTCTGTCAAGTATTTTGTATGTTAAAGGCAAGTTGCACTACTGCTCCGTTGAAGAGAATTCCTAGGGACAATGAGTGTTGTATCAACAGGAACTTGACAGGTGTCAACATGTTGAATGAGTGAGAACTGTGTGTTTGAGTCACTTTTTGAGTACAAATTTACAACCTCTACTTCACTTCAACTGGTCCTGGCCACTTGCCTGACCATTTATTGAGACTCCCAACTGTGAACTCCTCCATCTTTTCTCCCCTCTCTTCCCTTTTAAGGTGGAATTTTCTATCACTTTCCAGAGAAAATTATAAAACTTGGGCTTTCTATACTCCCATATTCTGATATACTTCATATTGTTAGAGATTGCAAAATAGCGAGCAAGCCATTACTTCATATGGAGCAAACTCATTGGCATTTGATCATTGTAATTACCATAGCACTTTCCCAAAACTCGAGCAACGTGGAAGGCAGAGCCCATTTTCACAAGGAGCACAAAGGGCCCTCTGTTTATGCTATTAGTTCTCAAGACCCTGTATCTCAATCTCCTGCTTATTCCCCCGTTCAATCGGACACAAACGAACCTGGTAATTCCAGCTCAGATTGCATTTTCGACGTGACATCATTTGGAGCGATCGGAGATGGTTCGGCTGATGATACTGCTGCATTCAGGGCAGCATGGAAAGCAGCCTGTGATATTGAATCTGGTGTTCTTTTGGCTCCCTCAAACTACATATTCATGATTACTTCAACAATATTTTCAGGCCCATGTAAGCCTGGACTAGTGTTTCAAGTAAGTATTTTAAGAAATTTCACTGTTTCTTCTTCTCATTTAAGTATAGAATGTTTCATGGAAAGCTGGTATGTAAATTTTCTCAAATTTTGTGAATGTGAAAAGGTGGATGGGGTACTAATGCCGCCTAATGGACCGGATTGCTGGCCAAAATCAGACAGCAATAGGGAATGGCTTGTGTTTTACCGGCTCGATCAAATGACATTCACTGGAACTGGAACCATTGAAGGGAATGGTGAGCAGTGGTGGGAACTCCCTTGCAAACCTCACCGGGTAATTTTATTCATATTCTTCTATTTTTTTCCTCTAATTTACTCTTTTGGATTAAACCCAGTTTTTTGTTTTATTTTTGGGCAAATTACATATACCTCCCTTGAGGTTTGGCTAAATTACAGATACCCCTGAGATTTCGGAAATTACATCCCGCCCCCTAAGGTTTGTATTTCATAACAATTTGTCCCCTAAGGTTTAAATTTCATAACAAATTAACCCCTAATTTGTTATGCAAATATAGCATTCAGGGGGAAATTTGTAATTTCTCAAACCACAGAGGAGTATATGTAATTTGGCCAAACCTCGAGGGAGATATATGTAATTTGCCCTTTATTTTTTGATCTGTTCGACTTTAATTCTAGAATCGTACAATCAACATCATCTTGTCATCTGCTAGTTCCAATTTGTGATCCACTCAAATGATGAAAATGAAATGCCACTAAATTTATTTGACATGGCCATTTCAGGGTCCCAATGGGTCAACCTTGCCTGGACCATGCGATAGCCCCACTGTGAGTAAAAGTGCCCAACACTCAGTTCTGGCTTTTACTCAATCAATCATAGAGATTTTCTTGTCCAACAATGCCAACGGACGCCAAATCTGCATCGAATGGAGAGGCGGCAACACTGAAGTCATCTTGAATGGATTGTAGCGCGGGTTCCATTCATTTTGAGTGGAGTGTTGTCAGGCCTTGTTTGGGGAGTATCTATTTTAATCAAAAAATTACTATAAGTATCTTTATTTTTCTACACATCTCTTCATAGAAAGCCAAAAAATTATTAAAATAACTTGTACTACATTAATATTGTGCACATTTTGGTGTCAACAACATGGAAAATGCTATAAACTCCAAATAATCTACTAAATTTTCTACCAAACCTTTCACATGGGTGTGGGTTTGTGTGAGTCCCACACATTTTTTGTAGAAAATTTGGTACATCATTTGAAGTTAAAAGCATAACTCCAACAACATTACTCTCTGAGTTCTTTTTTTTTCTTTTTGTCTTTTTCAAATGCAAGTTGTTTTTGAAATAGAACTCTCAAGCTCAAGTAGCTTTAAATTTATTTCTCAGAGTCATGTTGTTTCATGAAATCGTGTTTCAATGAAGTTTTCAAAATATAGCTTCAATTTTTTTTTTTTTGGGCAGCAAATCAGTTTGTGTTATCAAAACACTATTTTAATGAAGTTTCAGAACACAAGTTCAACTCTAAAACTGTGTTTTGAAAACACTGACTTCATAAAAAAAATTGAGTCTGGTTTCATTTTAGTCTTTGTTGTATTGACGAACTTAATTTCTTAAAACAGTTAATTCACTTCTTCATGAGCTCCGATCTGGTGGTAAGTGGGCTACGAATCCAAAATAGTCCCCAGTTCCATATGAAATTTGACAGCTGCACGGGAGTGCTGATAGAGAAGTTGTTCATATCTTCACCTAAGCTTAGCCCAAACACTGATGGCATCCACATCGAGGGCACCAAGCATGTTGGCATATACAACTCTGTGATAGGCAATGGTACCGACTCAAAGCCCTGCCCTGCCCTGCCTTGCACTGCACGCTGTTATTGTTCAACAGTTATTATTGTGATTTTTTTGCCACCATAGCTCAATGGGGTTCACTCTGATTTTAACAGGGGATGATTGCATTTCGATTGGACCAGGGTGTTCCAATGTTGACATTGATGGTGTCACTTGCGGTCCCAGTCACGGGATCAGGTATATCATTAATTCTTTACCCAAAATTTACGTACACAATTTTGAGTAATGATATGCAAACAAAAACAACAAAATTAGTTATACCGAATTTTAATACAAAAGGATGTGATTCAATAGTGACCTCCAATTACAATTTGATTTGAAGTGCATCCCCAAGTACCCAAGCAACTAGCCCAACACAGTAGTAGATATACTTTATATTAATCCAGATCATAACATATATAAACTCTGTTTTCTGCAGCATTGGAAGCCTTGGTGTGCACAATTCCCAGGCATGTGTTTCCAACATAACAGTCCGCAACACAATGATAAAAGACTCAGACAACGGGGTCAGGATCAAGACCTGGCAAGGCGGGACTGGCTCAGTATCAGGCATATCATTCGAGAACATCGAAATGAACAATGTGAGGAACTGCATAATCATAGACCAGTACTACTGCTTGACCAAGGCTTGCCGAAACCAGACCTCAGCAGTTTACTTGACCGATGTATCCTACAGGAACATAAAGGGCACGTACGATGTGCACAGCCCTCCAATTCACTTCGCTTGCAGCGACACGGTGCCCTGCACGAACATAACCATGTCCGAGGTTGAGCTTCTTCCACATGAGGGGGAATTAGTGGATGACCCTTTTTGTTGGAACTCCTATGGAATTCAGGAGACATTGACAATACCTCCCATTGATTGCTTACAAGATGGAGAGCCAGACTCATTGGCAGAGGTTTCCACATATGGTTGTTAGTATAGCTATATATATACATTGTAAAAAGCCCAAGAGCCATTGTTTTGTTTATGGGTCTTGATTGTTATTTTAGGCTCCATCCCTTTTGGGAATATGTTTCCCTTATTGGGCGATGAAGGTGTTGTAGAAACAGGGTCTGTTTGGATTGGATTTTTACATTATAATAATTGAAATGCAGTAGCAGTTTCGGGACTAGTTTTGACGGAATTTCCAAACTAAACTAAAGTGCTATTACAAATCGGGCTTTAACTGTTTGGGGGCCAAAATTTGATTAATAGTTAAGGTGCTATTGTGAATCGCGATTTTAATTAAGAAAACACTGTTCTGAATAGCGATTTTAAACCTGAATTATAAAACGCTATTATGAATAGCGCTTCATTTGCTGATTTTTGCGGATTTGTTTTATAAAGAAAACGCTATTACAAATAGCGAGTTCAGTTCTGAATAAAACGCTATAGCAAATAGCGATTTTAATTTTGAAAAAAACGCTATTTAGAATAGCGTTTAAACTGTTTCAATGCCCATTTCTTTCCTGGTGTCATTGTTTTGGTGATAATGTGATTCATAAAATTTTATTGGCTTTAAAGCCATTGTCATGTTAAAATTTTTTTTTTTTTTTCTTTTGTTTTTGTTTTTGTTTTGGTTTAGAAGGTGTAATTCAGAAATTTTACATAATATGAGAAAAACCTCTTTTCATATATTTATTTTACATAATATTTTTCATATATATAATTTTAAAATCATATTCATTTAGATATTATTAAGCCAATCAAGTTCATTTACAAAAGTCATGGTTTCACTGTTCACTATTGTAAGCATGGATTGAAACCACACTTTCACTGTTCATTTAAATTAGATTTAATTTTTTTTTGTAAATATTTTTTTTCTGTTGTCATTGTTTCGGTGATAATGTAATTTATAAATTTTGTTTGACTGTACTGAAGCCGTTCTCATGTTAAATTTTTTATTTTTTCTTTTGTCTTTGTTTTGGTTTAGCAAATGTAATTCAAAATTTTTTTTGGTCTTTACTAAAGCCGTTTTCATGTAAATTTTTTTTGTTTATTGTTTTGTGTTTGTTTTGGGTTAGAAGGTGATAATGTAATTAATAATTTTTTTTTTTTGCTTTACTAAAGTTGTTTTTCATGTAATTTTTTTTTTCTTCTTTTGTCTTTGTTTTGAGTTAGAAGGTGTTATTCAGAAAATTATTTTGGCTTTACGAAAGCTGTTTTCATTTAAATATACATATATATTAATCCTTTTGTCTTTGTTTTGGGTTAGAAGTTGAGAATGTAATTCAGAAAACCAGTTTAGTAAAACCGTTTTGTACCCGTTTTCATTAAAAAAATTTATTTTTTTGTTTCGTCTTTGTTATGGGTTAGAAAGTGATATGCATGCTCTACAGTCCGAAGCACACCCACACACTGTGCAGCTCGACGAGCAACGACGAAGAGTGAGACGCGAAGACCACCGCGGAGTAGGCCAAGAAGACGAAGGCCACAACGAGAGCTCCTAAAATAAATTTTGTCAACATTTTTGTAATAAATCTTAATACATAATATACGAAGTCACTAATTTACTAAATACTCATACAAGCATGAAAACAACATAACTGAAGTTGCAAATGTAATAGTTTTCAGTTACATAGGTAGTACAGACATAATTCTCTCACAAAAATACATTCTGCACACCATGAACTGAACACACATTGCATACATCCTGGACATCCTGAACTGAACACATAATACATAAACATAACAGTTAGACAGACAAACACTTAATTCATGACCTAATATTGCATATTAATAGCCGCAACATTTGACAGACACAATACATAAACATAAACATAAACATAACATAACAGTTATACTTACCCTAACATAGACATTACATATTAATGCATGACCTAATATTGCCGAAGTGTAGACATTAACACCTAATTCGCGCTTAAATCGGCAGGTGACTCAGAGTCTGAATAATCCGAAAGCTCAGTATCAGAGACAAGCTCAGGATCCTCCATGATACCGTTGATAGCCGCAACATTTGGTTCTGTTATGTTCTTCTGGGCATCCTTCTTAACTATGTATAGCTGCATATCGCAGGCTAACCTACGGCGCATTTGAGAAATCTCACGTTGTAGTCTTTCACATAGTCGATCAACATTATCAAGATCTTCCTTTTGGATCTCAATAGAACGTGCTTTTGGCACCTTCAGTCGATTTTCCCGACATAATCTTTCCATTTGCACTCGCTCTATAAATAGTGCAGGCCACTTCAAAAGTCTAGCGTTTGCTAAACCATATCCTGTTTGATTATCTGATGGATCCTCCACCAAACCACATGGATCTCGATAGTATTTAGGCATGACAAAATTTCGCTTCCCAAACCTATCATGATAAGCACAAGAGGCATCTAACAAAGGAAATGGTGTTTCATCTTTAGCATTGCCACTTCCCCTTCCCCCTCCTCGTCGTGAACTGTCACCCCTTTGCAAGTTCCTACCACCTCTGCGATTCCCACTCCCTCCCATGACCCATGTAGCCATGCTAATTTTTTAAAACAAATAAATGACAATTTTGTAGAGCAAAATGAGTTGTAAGGTTGTGTCTTCACCTTTAGCCGTTTATATAGTTGGTTATGAACGGCTTTAGAAAGATGCCTCTGCATCACAATCCCACATATATGAACAAGGTATGAGTGTCACTAGACTGAAAAAACAGAGAAAAGCAAATACTGTGTACGAAGTCACGTGACTTGACAATCCATCTGCATATACGGACAAAATAAAGGCATGCTGACTGTAAGGTAAATCAGTGAAGTCACTGTTGCCATGTGACATTCTGAATTGAGAATCCCACATATATCAATAAGAGATGAGTTGTCACTGTAATTAAAAAATCGAGCAAAACATCAACTTGACCAAAGCTTGTGCACCGAGTCATATGACTTGACAATCCATCTGCATATACGAACAAAATAAGGGCATGCTCACTGTAAGGTAAATCAGTGAATTTACTGTTGCCATGTGACTTTCTGAATTGAGAATCCCACATATATCAATAAGAGATGAGTTGTCACTGTGTATCAAATAATCGAGCAAAATATCGAGAAAACCAAAGCCTATGCACCAGGTCACATGACTTCGCAATGACAAGTCTCTCCACGATTTGACTACTCTATGTTTTAAAAAATGAAGCTTATGTAGGCAATGTTGTGTTTCACTTAGCTATGCATCATTTGTTGTTACGACCTACTATTTCTATCAACGGGAAAAGTATGACTATTTGAATTTCTGTTGTCATTTGGAATTATTTTAAAATCAACTTTTGAATATTCGATTTGTAATATTTTGGGAAACATTTACAATCTCAACTTTTGAAATCAACTTTAAAAGAATGGTGAATCTTGTGAGTGAAACGTGGGTTATGTAGGAGTACTTGGCCAGCAATGTTTATGAATATCATGGTGCATTCAAATCTGTCTGGAAAACTGGTGTTACACAGTAATTTTGGAAGTGTTGTTCTCTTTGGGTATAAATCCGAAAATTAACAAATCAGCGTCATTAGAACTGATAACAATTCTAGTTTCTATACTAAGAGAATTGTCAATTTCTTCAAAAATGTGCAAAAAACAATCAGTTTGGGTATAATTAATTCTAAATAGTGATTCATCCCAACCAAATCAAATAAAACCAATTGGGTTTTAAACTTAGTCCCCCAACTGGACCAACCACTTGGGTTTGAGCTTGTTTGTCCAGCCCCCGAAGTTTAGTTTTCTGTCAACCCCCCATTCCTTACTAGAGTCATCATTTGTACTGGACTTACAAGAATTGGAAGGTGACTCTTTCTTCTTCCCTGATAGAGATTGGAATTCTTTACGTAGAGGATCCCTATTTAACGAGGCGCAGTTAAGGCAAGCTTTTTATCGAGCTACCTGTTCTGTTTTATGTGTTATTGAAGGCGGTAGTTCGTTTGTCTGAACTTTATTAGTCCCCCAACTGGACCAACCACTTGGTTTTGAGCCTGTTTGTCTAGTCCCCGAAGTTTAGTTTTATGTCAACCCCCCATTCCCTACCAGAGTCATCATTTTTACTGGACTTCCAAGAATTAGAATGCGACTCTTTCTTCTTTCCTGATGGATATTGAAATTCTTTACGTAGAGGATCCGTATTTGACGAGGCCCAGTTACGGGAAGCTTTTCACCGACCTACCTCTTCTGTTTTATGTGTTATTGAAGGCGACAGTTCGTTTCACCGAGTTTAATTTTCTGTCAACCCCCCATTCCTTACCAGAGTCATCATTTGTACTGGACTTACAAGAATTAGAAGGTGACTCTTTCTTCTTTCCTGATGGAGATTGAAATTCTTTACGTAGAGGATCCCTATTTAACGAGGCGCAGTTAAGGCAAGCTTTTTACCGAGCTACCTGTTCTGCTTTATGTGTTATTGAAGGCGGTAGTTCGTTTGTCTGAACTTTATTAGTCCCCCAACTGGACCAACCACTTGGTTTTGAGCCTGTTTGTCCAGTTCCCGAAGTTTAGTTTTATGTCAACCCCCCATTCCTTACCAGAGTCATCATTTTTACTGGACTTCCAGGAATTAGAATGCGACTCTTTCTTCTTTCCTGATGGATATTGAAATTCTTTACGTAGAGGATCCGTATTTGACGAGGCCCAGTTACGGGAAGCTTTTCACCGACCTACCTCTTCTGTTTTATGTGTTATTGAAGGCGGTAGTTCGTTTCACCGAGTTTAATTTTCTGTCAACCCCCCATTCCTTACCAGAGTCATCATTTGTACTGGACTTACAAGAATTGGAAGGTGACTCTTTCTTCTTTCCTGATGAAGATTGAAATTCTTTATGTAGAGAATCCCTATTTAACGAGGCGCAATTAAGGGAAGCTTTTCACCGAGCTACTTGTTCTATTTTATGTGTTATTGAAGGTGGTAGTTCGTTTGTCTGAACTTTATTAGTCCCCCAACTGGACTAACCACTTGGTTTTGAGCCTGTTTGTCCAGCCCCCGAAGTTTAGTTTTATGTCAACCCCCCATTCCTTACCAGAGTCATCATTTTTACTGGACTTCCAGGAATTAGAATGCGACTCTTTCTTCTTTGATAGATATTGAAATTATTTACGTAGAGTAAAATGCCTTTGACGAGGCCCAGTTACGGGAAGCTTTTCACCGACCTACCTCCTCTA